TGACCGGCAGTGTATAAGAATAATATATAAGAATTCAGTTCGTACCTCACAGGAAACAGATCCGAACCCACGATCCCGGCTTCCGAGAGAGCAAAGACAGTACATGCCTTAGACCGCTCGGCTACTGTGACCGGCCGTGTATAAGAATAATATATAAGAATTCAGTCCGTACCTCACAGGAAACAGATCCGAACCCACGGTCCCGGCTTCCGAGCGAGCGGAGACAGTTCATGCCTTAGACCGCGCGGCTACTGTGTTCTACATTTACCCCTAACAATTACTTTCTGTTATTAAGCTTTTTTACATGGAGTAAACCTGCATTCAGGTATACGTAATAGTGAGAGAGGTGATGTTTAATCTAAGAGCGCATCTCCCTTCCAGCATACTAATGTTGCCTTAATGAATATGCTTCAGTTCTGCTTCATTGTCACAACCTATATTCTGAGTTACCTATCTTAAAATGAACAAAAACTTTAAAAGTAAAGTGAACTGAAAGGAAATTAAGTTTCTTTTTGTTACATTTGAGGTTTCCACAGCGGTGACTCTAAATAATGCCGACTTCTGGGATGTGGCGCCGTGTAAATATTGCGTAAATCAACGTTTCGGAGGAACGTATCACCTCCATTTTCATCTGCCACCTGCTCACGCTCGTTCCTCGATTGCGGATTATTCTATCCTGAAAATGGACGCGGACCGCCTCTGTGGTCTACTGGTCAGGTTCCTGGCTACAGATCCAGAGGTTCCGGGTTCGATTCCCGGCGCTACCAGATTTTCTGAAAAGTAGTGGGTCTGGAACGGTGTCCACTCATTCTCTTGCGGATAATTGAGGAGCTATTTCAAGGAAATAGCGGCTGCGGTCTAGAAAACTTGAATTAACGGCCGTGTGGATTTGTTGCAATGACCACGTGACACCCTCTATCCGCTAAATTTGGTACTAACTTCGCCGACATTCTGCGGTCGCTCGGTCGGTATAGTTCGCTTGCGGACTAAAACCACGAAGTTTTTTTTTTTTTATGGAGGTGATACGTTCCTACGAAACGTCGGTTTACACAATATCTACACGGCGCCACATCCCATAAGACGACAATCTTTGAAGTTCCTTCTTCTTTTACAGTTATTTTAATTACTGGATTATATAGCACTAATAACTCTTTTAATATTCCAGGGATCTCTTATGATGTCGCCACCAAAGACCATAATCGCATACTCTCTAGAGCGTCAAGTGGAAATGGAACAACGAGAACCAGTCATCTGCCATGAACTTCTTGGAATGCGACCCACGCCCTCTCAGATCCATCGCATCAACACCTACTGGCAAAGCCCTCCTCATTCTGGCCTACACTTATTCTCAGCCCACTATGACGCCAGACTTAACAACTATCACTACGTTCGCATCATTGGTATGGTAGAAGGTCACAACAATGTCACCATTTACTGCCAAATTTGGTACGACAGAGAGGTCCTTGTGTTGGAAGCATTACGTGTGGATATTTGGGCCTCCCAGTGGGACAGCAATGCTAGCATAGACTCTGACAATCCAGTGATGTTCAGTTGTCCAGTCCCACAAAACATCAGCATCGATACAGCTAAAAGAAAACGCTTTCCTCTTGGTGTTTCTGTGACATTAAAACCTTGTGAATTTCCTAGGACGTTCTTATCAATTCGTCCACCTCAAACCTCAGCGGAAGTACCCCGAAAAGATTTTGCAGTGTGTGTGAAAGGCCTGGATTTTGCAGTCCGTGATATGTCTATAAGAATTGCAGAATGGTTAGAACTGAACTTAATATTAGGGGCAGACAAGTTCTTTGTATATGTGTACAGTGTACATCCAAATCTAAAACGAGTTTTAGAATATTATTCTAGTAAAGGTGTCCTTGAAGTCATTCCATTGAGTTTACCTGGAAAACAACCAAACATACCAAAGCAGAGATCTAGGTACCTGAAATCAAATCTCTGGCAAAAGAGACGTGATGAAGTTGTGCCCTATAATGACTGTTATTACCGGAACTTGTATTCACATCGTTTCGTACTTCCGGTAGATATTGATGAAGTCATAGTTCCGGTAAGGACTTCAACATGGAAAGCAATGTTCCAAAAACTGTTTGCGGAAGATCCACATTTACTTGATAAATACTCTTCATTTTCAGTGCGCAATGTCTATTTCTTTGACGATTTCCCTGTGAATGATCTCCAATATATACCAAAATATCACCACATCCTCAGGCACACCACAAGAAGTGCAAATTTTAGTCCGAAACTGGAATCCATTAAGAGTTTCGTGTCAACAGACGGTGCCCTTACGGTGTTTAATCATTACACTTTAAGAATTTTAAGACCTTCAACAGCCAGAAACCTTGTGTTGGATATAAATGTTGCTCAGATGAATCATTACAGAGACACCTGCTCGTCAGACACTGTACTAGATTGTCATGATAATTATTTGAAGTACAAGAAAAGAGATACATTGATACTCCGATATGCTAATCAATTGATAAGAAGAGTGGAAACAGTACTCAGAACTCTGTATTTAATTTAAGGTTTGCATCATTTGCTAGGTTCAGTATTTTCATCATACATTCGAAATTGTTGGGACCGCCTCTGTGGTCTAGTGGTTAGAGTTCCTGGTTACAGATTCAGAGGTTCGACTTCGGTTCCCGGCGCTATCAGATTTTCTGAGAAGTGGTGGGTCTGAACCGGGGTCCACTCAGCCTCTTGAGGATAACTGAGGAGCTATTTCAAGAAAATGGCGGCTCCGGTCTAGAAAACCGAAATTAACGTTCGGGTGGGGGTTCGTTGCGTTGACCACGCGACTCCCTCTATCCGCTAAAGTTGGCACTAACTTCGCTGACAAGCAGCCGTCGCTCTGTCGGTATAGTTCGCTTGCGGACGAAAACCACGGAGTTTGTTTTGTTATGTTTGTTTGTTTCAAATTTGTTGTGAATGCAAATATGAACGTGAATAAAACATACGTCATATAAGAATCGATTTAAAACGCAAGTTATTTACTTATTAGGTTTCGTGAAGAAAGTATTCATTGAGAGAGTCATGAAGTGTTATCTCATTTTGCAACGCTGTAAATGACTGAACCCCTACCCCTTTAAATATGTAGGTTTGATCCCCTGCTTAAGGAGAATATTTGGACCGAAGAGAGATGAAGTGAGAGTAGGCTGGAGAAAACTGCATAATGAGGAGCTTCATAACTTGTACTCTTCCAAGTACAATTAGAATGGTCAAGTCAAGGAGGATGAGTTGGGCAAAGCATGTAGCACGAATGGTAGAAGAGGAATGCATATAGGATATTGGTTGGGAAGACAGAAGGAAGGAGACCACTGTGAAGACCAAGACGTAGGTGGGTGGACAATATTAAAATGAATCTTAGATTCATAGGATGGGATGATATAGATTAGACTGATCTGACTCAGGATAGGGACCGTTGGAGGGCTCTCGTGAACACGGTAATGAACCTTTGGGTTCCATAAAATGCTGGAAACTTCTTGAGAAGCTGCACAATTGGCGGCTCCTCAAGAAGTGCTCAGCTCCATGAGCGAGTGAGTCACAAGACAGTGAGACACTTAGAGACTTGGGTACCGCTGCTACTCTTCCCAAGAGGAACAACAAGAAATTGTGCTCACAAACTTAAATTCAAGCAATTTAAACCGTTTCTAGTTATCTCCATCTAAGAATACTCAGGATTTTCTATTATTCATATTGTATATGTTACCTTCATTATTCGTCACAAAATTTTAGGTCTTATTAATTTTTCGAGTCTGATTTTTTTCTCAAACATCCTGGAATTGGGGGGGGGAAGAAGCCTTGTTTCCACTCCCCTACTTCCCCTCCCGGAACCCATGACTGACACACAGAATGAGTTAATTATGCAAAGAGCGTCTCTAGATTCTCAAGGTCGTTGAGCTGTATGCATGGAATATCATACGAGATCAGTAAACATACTTAGGCAACATAAAGTGAGTTCACTTCAGTTCATTTCCTTATTTATGCATGTGCTTGCTTAACGGCAGAAAGTCTAATTATAAAGTTGAAGCAATCAAAAGGAAGAAACGAAATGATCACATCGGTTCAAACAGAAGGAAACAATGCAATCAGTTAGACAGTAATAACAATTGAATTACGGCAATCACACTAACAACTGTACCGTGAAAAAAAAATATGTACCTACTAGGACATACAATCGTCTTGAATACTATTAATATTTTTTTTTTCAATTGGCACTACAGCCCCAGTGGGCCTAGGCCTACCTCCATGAACTTCTCCGTTCACTTCGGTTTTTCTAGATCTTACACATTCGGTAGGACTCCTTGGGCGGGTGATCAGCTCGTCGCAAGGCTTCTACCTGTACACAAACACAGAAAAACGCACACAAACATCCATGCCCTGAGTGAGATTCGAACCTACGATCCCTGCTTCCGAGCCAGCGAAGACAGTGCATGCCTTAGACCGCTCGGCTACTGTGACCGGCCAATTAATATTTTAACAATTAAAATTTTTAGAATTAAAGTATCCAATGAGCTTGAAATAATGTAATTTTCATCATTTAATTTAAATTCAAATTGTCAAAGTATCCAGCGAAACATTAAACGAGAGTGGGATATGTTTATTTTCATAATTTAAAAAATTTTACCAACTTCCGTTTCCCCCTTGCGCTCTGTAATATGGACACATGGTGTACATCTTGTTAAGTTGAATTTGTGTATCTTGCCTTTACGTAAAAAAGAGCGTAAACATGTATGTTTACAAGGTACTTCTAAGTGTGTCGGACCATGAAATCCGTTTTTCCTTTTCATGAAATGCGCTTTATCTCACAAAACACGCGTTACGTGACATGAAACGTTTATTGTCTGAAACTCTGACCGCTTCTTGCGTAGACTTGTAGTGAGGTTAATTTGACGAATCAGTTATTTTGTTTCGTCTTCTGGTTTTGTGTCTACGGGATTTTTAGCTTAGTACACGTTCCAAATACTTCTAGATGTTTCTTTTTGTTGGAAACATGAAAAGGAGGGAGTGAAATAGAGATAAATAAGAAAACAAGCAAATAGAACACGATTTAACTAGTTGATTTCACTTAAAACCACAAATACAATATTCATTCCTGGAATCTGTTCCTTTGACACACACGGTTCAACGCCCAAGCACGAGCGGTCACGTTGTGATTGAATTGTTCTCACTGGGAAGCCAAGTGCGGACGTCAGCAGTTTGAACCACAGTCACAACCAACAAAATTACGGCTAGTTTCCTAACCATGGTCTTCTGGGTAGCTGTATTAAATTTATCTCAGGGGGTTAAAAAATTTGCCTATATTAACTCTTGTTAGTGGATAGTTCTCCGGTCTAGAAAACCGAGATTAACGGCCGTGGGGATCCGTTGCGCTGACCACGTGACACTCCCTATCCGCTAAAGTTGACACTAACTTCGCCGACAAGTGGCGGTCGCTCGGTCGGTATAGTTCGCTTGCGGACTACACGCCACGGAGTGGATAGTTCAGGCCACATAGCAACGAGTTACGAGCAGGACAGTCAGGGCTCCATTCCCGGTAGGGATTTGTCTCTTCACAGCGTCCAGACCGTCTCTGGGACCCACTAATTCTCGTACTCAATGAGTACTGGGGGCCTTATATCCAGGGATGAAACAGCCGGGACGTGAATCTCACCAGTCACCTCCAACTAGTGCCGAGACTATGAATGGTGGAGCTATCCCTCCACTCCCCAACACGTCTCTGTAGCGTGATGCTCATTTAATTAAGCATAGGAACAACTTTGCCTTTACGGACTGATCACCCGTGATAACGAAACTCAAAATTAGAGGCCAGGGCCCAATGGGGCTGTAGAGTCGGTGGAAAAAAAATATTATAGTTGAATGCATACATAAAGGGTGGGTCATAATAATCCGGCCCTTGCACTGCGACCTTCAGTAATCTATTTTATTTTAATATTATTTACTTTCATTGTGGGGCACGCGGTAGCGTAGTTGGTTGAGGCATTATGCTACAAGCCGGAAGGTCGCGGGTTCAAGTCCCGATGAGGTCATTGGATTTTTTCAATTGACCTAATCCTTCCAGCCGCACTATGGCCCTGGGGTTCACTCAGCCTCTAACAGAAATGAGTACCAGGAATTAATTAAATAATTTTCCTGGGGAGTAAAGCGCGGCCGGCGCGTAAGGCTATCAACCTTACCGCCATCTTTAAGCCGATTTTCTAGATAATGTTGGACCCTCAACGTCTGACAATCCTATGGGCCTTCACGGCCTGTTACAGGGATAACTTTACTTTTGGTTACTTTACTTTACTTTCATTGTAATTTTAAAATCTATCCATGTATCTATGGTTCTACTGTCGTTTTGTTGGATCTTGGCCCATTTTTCAGTTTCTTAATCGATACACAGTCGGTAGAACTCCTTGGATGGCGGATCAGCTCGTCGAAAGATCGCTACATGAACACACAGATATCTATACCTTGAGTGGGTTTCGAACCCACGATCCCAGCTTTCAAGCGGGCGAATACAGTGCGTGCCTTAGCCGCGCGGCCGCTGTGATCGGCGTTAATAATTTATAGTCTTCCGGAAATCACGAAATCCACGCTGTTGTTCAGCCTTATCTGAAAATAAAAGAACATGACTTTCTTCAGGTTTTGAACAAATTACCTTGCCAGTAATGAGCCCCGTTAATCAGCCCCATGCTTGACCTGAGAGCTGCGGGCCTTGTACCTCAGAATTATAGTTCAACCATTCAAAGGGGGCTGCTTTTGTACGTGACAGTGTTTTAAAGACTTTTTCTCGGCAAGTTCCAAGTACAATAAGAAGGGTCATGTTTTAACTCTATCCATGCGTTGAAGTCTCTTCACACGTGCTTCCGATCTCCGTTCAGAAGGAAGGAAGACAATACACAACTTGTACTCCCATTCAGCAGCCTTCCTTTCATTCTATGAACCGTATGGTCGTGATCTGTATTACTGAGGTCCGAGGTTTGGTCACGGACCAATTATCATAACGTTTATTTAATTTTTTTGGCTTCCTTCAATGAAATTACAGGATAGAGGAATTGAAGAGGAAAGTGCGTAACGTAACGGAATCTTGCTTATCTAATCTGCAGCTACCGATCACAGTGACAGCGCGGTCTAAAGTATGAACCGTCTTCGCTAGCTCAACGCTGAGACCGTGGGTTCGATTCCCACTCGATGCATTGATGTATGTGTGCATTTATTATCTTTCTGTGTTGTTCCGTATGTAGGTAGCGGCCTTTGCGACGGGCTGATCCCCCGTCCAGGGAGTCATACAGACTGTGATTAGGATTAAGAAACTGAGAAAGAGGTCAAGGCCCAAAAAAGGGCTGTAGATAAATAGCTTTTGTAACATCTCACAGAAATATTCANTACCCAAAATTCTTATGTCCTCCCACACACATTCTTCCCATTTTAACCTTGGTCTTCCCACTCTCCTGTTTCCTTCTGGTTTGGTGTTAAGCATTTTCGGCCTTTGCGACGGGCTGATCCCCCGTCCAGGGAGTCATACAGACTGTGATTAGGATTAAGAAACTGAGAAAGAGGTCAAGGCCCAAAAAAGGGCTGTAGATAAATAGCTTTTGTAACATCTCACAGAAATATTCAATCAGTAGAAATATATGAGAATTTTCTAGGAAA